AGAGGGACTCAGATATTTTATGCCAACGTTCACTGCGACATTACACAGCAGCCCAGTGGAAACAGTTCAAGTGTCCATCAGCAGGTGAACATGTAAGCCAAATGTGGTCTGTGCTCACACTGAAATGCACACATCAGCCTTAAAAAGGAAATGAGTACTGACACGTGTGCATGGCTGAGCCCTGAAGACAGGCGGAGTGCAAGGAGCCCACAGGAGGGACAAACACTAAATGGTCTCATTTATAGAACATGTCCACCATGGCAGATCCGCAGAGCCGGAGAGTAGGCTAGAGGTCACCCCTGGCGGGGGGAGGGGGCTGGCTATGGGTCTTTTGGGGCGACAAAAAAGTTTTGGAAATCAGCAGTGGTGATGGTTGGACAACACTGTGAATGTGACCGATGTCCATGAACTGTAAGCTTAAAGAGGGCAAATTTTATGTTATGTATTTTCTCATGATAAACAGAAAGTTAAAAAATTAACAAAACGCAAGGAAAGAGAGTAAGAAAGTAAGGGAGAAAAAGAAGTCGATTAAGGTGTACATGGGAAAAGAGGGAAAGAGAAAATGAGAAAAAAAGCAAGAAAAGTCCCAGATAAAGGAAGCTTGAGAAAGAAAGATAAAGAGTGAAATAAGAAGAGAAGCAAGAATGAGGGAAAATGGGAAGAGGAGCTGGAAGCGAAGGATGGGGCCTAATGCCACTCGCCCACGGAGTAGCCCTGCCCAGATGGAGTCCCTCCCGGCCCTGGTCCCCCGACAGCACCTCAGCTGCGGGTCCAGCTTCCCCCCTGTGGCCCCTAGGTCGCCCCCCCCATGCGGCCCCAGCATCCCCGGAGCCCCGAGCCTCCCCCAAGGCACGCTTCCTCTCCCAGCTTCCTTCCCTGGAGACCGCCTGCAAATGGCTTTGCAGTGCTGGGCACCCTTCCTAGACGCAGACCTCGAGCGCTTATGGAATGTTCCATCCCAGTCACACAAGGTACTCGTTGATCTGGACACTGGGGGGGGGGGGGGTTCGGAAAACAATGGGGTTTGGAAAAAAAGTTACACCAAGAACTGGATTGGGCCCATACATGAATGGTTTCAAAGCATGTCGTAGGGCTCTTCAAGCAAAGGAGCTCGGGACAAAGAAGCCTCTTGGGTGAGCTAATCTGATCAGTTGTGATCAGAAGGGGAAGGTATTGGGCGCCTGGGTGGCTCAGTCGTTAAGCGTCTGCCTTCAGCTCAGGTCATGATCTCAGGGTCCTGGGATCGAGCCCCGCATTGGGCTCCCTGCTCAGCGGGAGGCCTGTTTCTCCCTCTCCCACTCCCCCTGCTTGTGTTCCTGCTCTCGCTATCTCTGTCAAATAAATAAATAAAATCTTAAAAAAAAAAAAAAAAAGAAGTAGAAGGTATTGAAGTTACTGACGCCAGCCACCTGTTCATCTTCAAATGTTAAGAAGACCAACGGCTCTTCACCACCACTTTGGGACCATGCACAGTTTGGAGGAGACGGTGGCCGAGGGCCGGCTTCGTTGCCTGCCCTCCGTGAGTGCTCACGGTGGGGGCGTTTCTATGCTGCTCAGAACAAAACGGCCAAACCACGTCTATGTCCCTTCCCACCCCTGCTGGCAGGACTGGGGGGGGGGCGGGTGCCTCCAATCCCTGTCCTTAGCACTCCCGAGAGCCAATGATAATATGGGTTACATTCACTGTTAGGAGCTGTTCAAGAAAATGGTCCCAAACCACCAACCACAAGGTGAATCCTTCCCTCCCTCCCTCTTGCGTCCTAGCTTTAAGACACTGTTCTCCCAACCGTGTGAGGAACCAATGTTTACGGAGAGGGCGGGGAGGAATTCAAGAAAGCAATTGGTCTTAAATTGTTTACACCAATTGATTGGCCTGTTCAGGGTAAATTACACGTTAATTATAAGAGCTATTCTGCACCCACAGATGAAACTGTACCAGTCTTTCTCTTTAAATGTGAACACTAGGTTCACCTGTTCAGGTAAAATTACCGGGTTGAAAGGAGATCATACTGTATGCCACGCTCTTCTAAAGTTATGGCCTTTAAAACTTGCATTATTTGCTAGCTGTGGATTTTATATTTTCCAGTTGTTGTAAAAATACTTTTTTCTCACCTGTTGAAACGTAGCCATGGGTAAGATGACAAAAGTCTTTCACGGCTTGAATAGTAACTTATTAAAATCAAGGAATATCCTTTGATAGCCTGTTATAAAATCCTTTATTTTATATGCATTTATGCCTTAGGAAAAGTCCTAGATAAGCCAAGGTTTGGAGTGAGGATGTGACTGAGATGCACTCGTCCCCACGGGGGCTGACAGGCTGCAAACAGGCTGAATTGCCCACACCATGCACGGGGCAACACTCGGCTGCAATTCTGGCTGTAATTGATGGTCAACTTTGATTTTCTGCTTTGTGGTTTTCTCTTTTCAAGAATCATCACTCAATCTACGTTGAGAGAAAATATGTTATTTTCACCAAACTGAGAAAGGAAAAACCCCTCTGTGTGCATGTGCGCACGTGCACACAGAACATGGAGTTAGGGATTCTGGTAAGTTCTCCTAGGGCTGTTTAGTAACCTTGCCTACAGAGACTCATGGCTTCTGCAGAGAGCCACTGAAGAGGAAAATTATTCCCACCTGCAGAAAGCAAGCAAGCTCTAAATGAAAACCAAGTAAAAGAACAAAGCTACCTATTTACTCAATTAAGAAGAGTAAAGTCAGGTTACTGAGGTATCCCATGGCAAAATGGCACAGTTCCCATTTCCAGTGTCTGTCACCTCAATGGCTGGAGGCGGACTCAGGACAGATTTCTAGAAACATCTACTGACGCCCCACCTTGGCATGTCCAACTCCTCAGTCTTGTACACAACATGTCAAAAAGAACTTTGAGGTGTTCCTATCTGATGATTCTGAGACCATCTACATGCCAAGAACCTGAATTCAGAGGGTAACACAGGGAAGCAAAAATCCTGGTTCATAACCGTGTTCTCTTAGGCATATTATCATTTGCTTAACTGTGTTAACTTCATAATGGCCAATATCAAGTGATCATTCTGGCAGGAAAAATCCCATCCTTTCAAATATCACTAGGCTTCGAGATCGATAACGGGAAGTACACAACTGCATAAACCCCGAGCTAATAGCCCTCTTGGGCATCAGGGAGCAGAACACACCCAGCCCGGCCGTGGCCACGCGTGCCCCACAATTACCTGCGATGAGCCAGTCAACTGTAAGACAAATCTGCCACCTATTTTCCTGCAGACACAAAGCTCTCTAGTAATTTATGCCTTCAGGCCAGGACGGACGCTCACTGACGGAGACCCCTTGGAGCCTGGAGCCGCACCCGGACTGTCCTGGGAACTCGCACGCGGTGGCCACACGCTCCAACCCGCCCTCCACGCTCAACATGTGTGCTTGGCGGCAGAGGACGTGGACTATCTTAACTATGATCAAACGTCGTATCATTAAACAGAAATTAGACAAGAAACAAGGGAAGCCTATGGATTGACTGGGAGTTCAGATGCTCTAAATGGCTAATCCGTCCATTTTTCACCTGAAGCCCTCTCCAAATGCAGTTTTGCTATTAAGCAAAACCCAAAGAAAGGTAATCAATTCCAACTAAAAAGCACTTATCCTGGGATGATGGTGTGCAAGGCACTTCAAACCCCTGGCTGCCTGCCAAAACCCAGACAACAGCCATCAATGTTTCTGACTATCCGAGAGCACAGGGGCCATGCATAATTGACTAGAAGATGGGCTAAAACTGTGCCCAATCAGTGTGTGATCAAAAACGCGTGGAATATTCAGCACCACTTGATTACATGGAGGCTTGTCCTTTCTCTCTCCTCATGAAATCTCTTCAAGGTCCAGAGTACTGTAATAAGATCATTACTGTCAAGCGCTACGAATCGCAGGCAATGAGTCTTGGGATAGGAAGTCATACTTCACAAGCTCCCCTGGTCTCTCTCTCTCTCTCTTTTTTTTTTGTATTTTACTGCATGCAGAGGCAGCAAGGCGACGAGGTGGCAGATAATGATCACATCACTGTGTGGCAACTAGAAAGGCACTTTTAAAGAAAAAGCAGAGAGAAATCAGCTTAAGAGAAACTAAAACATTTTCCCTTCTGCTTTTTCCCCCTTAAAAAAATTAAATAGAATTAAACTGTGTGCAGTTGTCGCTCTTCATGAACTCGGATACAATGTCATTGGATTTAACCATTTGAGAGATTTTCATATTGCAGCCGAGCCCATTACCCCACAGACAAATGGCCAATTTTCTCCATGTCCCGAGTACAAAAGAAGCCCTTGGTAAGTTGTGTGTGTGTGCAAGGCAATGCCTGCTGTGGGGCTCAGGGGCCTCCCTCTTTCATCAGTGATGACACCCGGGCTCGGGCCTGGCGCCTACCGCACAGCTCTGGCGGGAAGGGACACACTTGAAAGCATGAGGGCATTAGTGAAGATCACTAAGCAAACAGTTTACCTCAGACCACACCTGCTCCGGAGCCCCACTAACATGTTGCGCCCACATGGGAGCACGCCACGATCAGACCCCGCAAGCACGTGAGGCACACATTCGATTAATCCTTGAATCCAGCGGGAGGGGGGGTTCAAGCAAATGGTGGGGGGCTTCGTCCACGGCTTCCCTCTACCCTCCACCTTCAAACTGCGTCACTCCCCTCATCCCCCCTAAAAAGGGTATCATCCTCAGAACGAACATAAAAACATGGATTCGTTGCATCCGTGATAGGGAGTTAAACATCCCTAAGTTTTAAAAAATTGCAAGACTGATGTCCCCTTGTCACAGACAGGAGACAGCCTGTCCTCCAGTCCTGCATGTTCCAACTGCCTGCAGAGGGGCTGAAGCACTGACTCCCGAATTTCCCTGGAATGTACCCGAGTGTGTGTGCATACACGGGAGAGAGACTGCCAAGAAGCTGTGCCACCACCGGGGTCCTGAGGAAAGAGGCTGAGGTCAGAAGTGGCAAAGGGATTGCTGCTTCCAAATTCCTTTTTTAAAGATTTATTTTTTATTTTAGAGAGCATATATGCACGAGTGGGGGGAGCGGTGGGGGGGGGAGCAGACCCCCCACCAAGCAGGGAGCCTGAAGCTGGGCTGGATCCCAGGACCCCGGATCTCGACCTGAGCTGAAACCAAGAATCAGAGGCTTAACCAACTGAGCCACCAGGCGCCTTGCTGCTTCTGGGTTCTTACAGGCCATGGTGGGGCATGGCAGGCGTGGCCCTGCCCAGCACTCCTCCTCATGCCCAAGCCCCTGCAGTCCTTGCCAGGTGGCCAGCATGAGCCCTCGAGGCTGGAGGCAGACCCCGAATTCACATCACCTGCAGGACTTCACTGAACCCTGTCCTTCCCCTGCAAAAACGGAGACAACCATGCCACCTGCCGACACCACCGGGGTGTCTGGAGGCTGCGATGAGTCACACGTTCAAGAGCGGGCGCTCAATCAGTCCTGGCTTCCCTCCCTCACACTTGATGACGTATCCTAACGAGGCACCCAGGGCGTGGGGAGGAAGGTGTGCGCTGCGCAGTCGAGTCCCTGGAGTATCTTCCTCCAGCGGCACAAGAGGGCACATCCCAGCCCACGGACAGGAACAGAAGTCACAAGGTTGTGTGGCCTGAATGTTTATGTCCTTCCAAAATTCATCTGTTGAAGCCTGCGGTGCTGGAGATGGAGATGGCGGGAGGTGACCAGGGTTGGTGTGGAGAGGGCTGGGCCCTCGGGACGCACTTAGTGGCCTCACAAGAAGAGGAAGAGCGAGTGTGCACGTGGAGGAAGGGCCATGAGCACACAGTGGGAGGGTGGCCTCTGCAAGCTGGGAACCAGGTGCTCGCCGAGAACCAGACGGGCCTCGCCCTGCTCTTGGACTCGCAGCCCCTGGAACTGGGAGAAATGAATTTCCACCATCTAAGCTGCCCATCTGTGGGTCTGTCCCGGCCCCGGCCGAGGGAGACACACGGTGTATGTGGATTTTATTTGTTCTTCCCGTTAACCAAGTTGTTTCTACATAGACCTAGTTCTGCATTCAGTCGCCGTCTTTATTCCGTTTTGCTTTACATCCTTAGGAATGAAGCCCCCCCGACGTGTGCATCTCATTACCGCCAGCACTGCGAGGGAAGACGCGGCGTCCTCAGCTGGAACCTCCCAAAGGCCAGTCCGTCCTGGGGTCCCCCGGACAGAAGTGTCTGAGGCCCCCAGCAGGCCGACGCTGACTCAGACACATCATCACATCTTCCTTCTGAGCATTACAGTGTCAGTTTGCCTCCGGTACTTTTGCGACAAGATACATGTAGCAAAGCAGAAGTATAAAAAGTGCCCACGCAACCAGAATGGCCAGGAAGGCCCTGCTGGAACCGCGCTGGCCCTGCCCCTCCTGGCTCGGGGGCCCCGGTCAAGCAGAGCACAGCGGGGTCTCCGTGTCGTCGCAGAGATAAGCGATAACCAAAGGTCCTGACAGCTCTGACGTTCTGAGAACGTCAAGAAAAGGACTCTGAGGGATAACCTGCAGGTGACTCGGTGTCCCAGACAGGCAGCATTCCATTCCCAGGGCGCCCAGAAGGAAACGTGCTGTCTCGCGGTCTGCCCCTGGACCCTGGAGACCATGGGCAGCTCATGCCGACTGAGCCCCACTGCAGAACAGCACCCCTAAGTCGAGGGAAAAGAAGAGCCATTGAGGTCTGTCACATCCCTGTCCTCTGGGACAGGCACCTTGAAAGGAGTCTGCATTTTTCACAGGTGAGCCCATCCCTGCTCGTGGACGGCAGGAGACCCTGGGACCCCCATTTATCCCCATTCCCTTTCTGTACTCCCCCTCCTTTCCTGGAGCAGCAGAGATCTCCTCCTCTACAAATGGCTCGCCTCCTCTGCAGAGCCTCCCGCGGGGACCCCAAGGTGCCGGGGTGCCTTGGGGTCCCTGCACAGGCTGCTCGGTGGACGCGGCCTGTTTACGGACGGGCGCGCTCCACCTGACAGCGGGCATCCTGAAGGCAGGGGTCGCCTCCGTCACAGCCAGCAGGTGACCGATGCACTTCCAGGGAACTCAGTCTAACTCTTTAGTTTGTGTGTACTTGAAAAAAAATAGTATCAAACCCACTTCTGTTGTCGTCAGCTCATCGTGATGGGGATCCTCTGTTCTGGGTCTTCCTGCTGTGGCCGACTCAGCTTTGTTTATGTCCGACCCGCCGACTTCCACAAAGGAGCCGCGGGCGCCTCCAGCTCGTGTGTGTCGGGAGGACGGGACCCTGCAGGATGGCTTTGGAGTCCACGGTGCGCCATCTATCCTGTCGACGTCTAGAGTAAACCCGGAGCTACTCAAATCCAGCAAGTCCGTTCTCGGGGGAGCTGGGGTTACAAACTGAGAGCTCGCTTTGGAAAAACGACCTGGTTTGTGGGGAGTAGCAGGTCCCTCCGAAAATGTGGTGCCTCCTCTGACTTTCAGCTCAAGGGCGAAGAAACCCAGCCACCCTGGCTCCCTTCTCCGAGCGGCTGTACTCGAGGAATATCTTCGAGGAAGAAGTTCAAATTCCTGGTTTTTCACATTCATGCTGATTAATTGCTCGACTCAGCAATTCAGATGCACTAACTAGTTTAATAATGAGGGAGTTCAATTATGAAGTCCTTACTGTTCTAAAACATGGCTGGTGATCATGGAGTTTCTGTGGAGTCGATTATGGAGGCTTCTCGTTCCCTCTCTTTTGACTCAAGGCAGCTGCCAAAATTAGAACAAGGAGCAGACGCGAGGGGTGCTGCTGGAAGGTTCTCGAAAATTAAAAGGAGGGAATCCAAGGTGATGTGTGCTAGCGTTGCCTACATGGGTTTCACACCGCCCCCCCCGGCCACCTCCAAATAATACGAAATCAAATGAGAAAACTGCACAGACAGGAGCCAACCGTGAAGGCAGTTCCTTGGCCCTGACCCCAGGCTGGCTGCGTGCACCATCATGGGCAACATGGAGGACCTGGCGTGCCAGCTGAGGCCAAGGAGGAAGGACAAGAGCATCACGGTGATGTAACGCTTCTGTAACAAACGGCCCTCTCTACCACTGAATCATCATGTGCAAAATCCCCATATGACCCAGCGATGCCCCAAACTGCACGAGAGTCAACACAACCCAATGGTCACCGATGAACGGAGCTTCAGTGCCCTCGGGTCTTGCCTTCTTGTAACCCTAAGCGCGCAGGAACAAGACCGGATGATGCGCGTCCATGGTCTTTCCTCTCCAGACTGCCTTCCAAAACCCTGCCACACGAGTAAAACACTGTTTTCCGGAGCTAAAAGGTGAACTAACTGATCAGGCACAGCAACAGCTGTTTCCTTAGCAGAAGCTAAGTGAAGGTGAAGACGGAACTCCGTTTTGCGCCAAATTAAGCACCACTGCTGGTGTTTCAAGTTGTAAACGGAGGACGTATAATGAAAACGCGATGCCTTCTGCAGCGTTTTATTAAATAACCGTATGTACTCAGTCTGCAGAAGATAAAATGAAGCTCTGTGGCATGTTCCCGTCCCCTTTCGTAACTCAACGCTCTTCCGTCCTGTTCACAACTACCCCCCGCACGCCTCATTTAAACATGGGCTGAAAAGGTAGGTGGTCTCTTGTGTATGTCTTAGTTCCAGGTTAAGGCCCTAAGAGAGGAGCTGAGTCTTACTTCTCGTGTCTCCCACGGAGCCAAACACACAGTGCTTCCTATGTGCTGGATGCTTGATACTTGACGAGAGGATAAAATGCTTCGCCATGTCAGGTTCTTCGGTGCAGGAAGGAAGGAAAACTCCATCCGGGCTGACCTTTGCAACTTGGACTTAATGAAATTCGTAAACAAATTTCAGGCTCAGGCCTTGCCTCTGATTGCCTACTGAGTGCAGCTGGGATGGGCAATTCTTTTCTTTTTTCTTCTTTTTAATCCTAACAGAGAGAGGCCATTTGTGACTTTTCCTCCACAGGATAATATTTCAGTATCCATCCAGGATCAACCATACAACGGTTCTATAAAGACCCAGAATGAACAACCAAGGGATCAGGATGAGAAGGATAAAATAAATTCCCTTCTGAGACCTTTGGAACAAAGCACTGTGAACCCAAGGGGAGGCGGGTAACACAACAGGATTTCTGTATATCCTCTTATATAATAAGATTGGGTAAATCCCGACTGGCTCTGCATTTTTAAAGAAAGATCTTTGCTACACAACTTCTAGATGTTATGATTCATATAAAAGTCAGTATCTTTACATGGAATCCGAGAAATATCAAGGAAGCTACTCTGTCTGCCCCACTCCTAGATTCAAAAGCCGCTCCACATACCTCAAAGACTTGCTTTTTGCCTGGTGGAAAGAGTTTGAGGCAGAGAATCAAGAGAAAGTTCTGTCACCTACCAGCAACCTGACCCTGGACAAGAAAGCCACTTAACCTCTCTCTACTTCCACCTTTTCACTGGGGGAACAGGGAAATTAACACTTGATGCAAACTTGCATGAATGTTATAAAACTAACGAGAACCACCAGGTTTGGGGCCACAGAGAATGCAGGACTCTGTTTCATTTCTGCAACGGTAAGCTCACTACTGGACCTGGATAAGAAGATGCCCAGAGAGCATCGAGATTCAGAGACAATGCCAAAACACAGCAAGTCATTAAAGATCTGTATCCTTTCTACTGCCCAGGGGTCTCTGGGCACATGCCCTTCAACTTGGTTCTGGTGACAAATCCAGGGCCCTGGGTGCTAGCGCCTTTCCAGGGTTGAACTCCCCTCCAGCCAGTGCTGTGGCCACCACAGGGGACAAGGTGCCCTGCTTCTTACAAAGTCTGCCTTCTCATATCTGAACCCAAATCCATCTCCTTGAAGCGTCCATCCACCGGTCCCAAAGAAGCCCACCTGGGCCACCCAGGATGTGAGTTCACGTGCCCCCAGGCTCCTGTCCTTCCCTACAGCTCTTCTAGATACTGCAAAGATTCCCTCCACATCATGGGCTTCAGTCCCCACATCCGTGCGTCTTGCCCACATCCAAATTCACCTTCATTGGTCTGTCATCATCGTGGAGTACAGAGCCCAGATGTGAACATACAATGTAATTAACTCTGAGCAAATCAAACCCAGTTTAAAATCAAATCACCGGGGCGCCTGGGTGGCTCAGTCGTTAAGCGTCTGCCTTCGGCTCAGGTCATGATCCCAGGGTCATCGGATCAAGCCCCGCATCGGGCTCCCTGCTCCATGGGAAGCCTGCTTCTCCCTCTCCCACTTCCCCCTGCTTGCGTTCCCTCTCTCGCTGTGTCTCTCTCTGTCAAATAAATAAAATCTTTAAAAAAAAATAAAGTTTAAAAAAAAAATCAAATCACCAATATTTTAATATCCAATGTTCTGAAAGGTCTATTAAATAGGAGTACAGGTAGAAATGGGATACGTGAATTTTTATTTATTTTTTAAACGTAACGACCACCTGCACCTTTTTTATGGTACAGCCAGAGGATGTTGGCTTCTATGAGGCTCGTTCTTCTCAAAGTTAAACTTACTGAGAAAGTGTCCTATTCCTGCCTAAAGTTAGCCTCAGATATCAGCCCTGGGAGCACAAGGAGGCATCCATCACCTTTCTGGGGCACTCTGCTTTCGATGACGTATGAGGTCCCTCTCACAAAGTCAGAGTTCACTGCCCCAGCTTGTACCCCACACTTCCTCCACGGCACAAGGAGGGGCTGGGTTATTTTTAATTTCTGACTTTTTTTTTCCCTAAAGGTCCTTTCATTTATTTTAGAGAAAGAGAGAATGCATGTGAGCAGAGAGAGGGGTGGAGGGAGAGAGAGAATCCTGAAGCAGACTTCCCACTGAGCGTGGAGCCAACTTGGGGCTCAATCCCAGGACCCTGAGATCATGACCTGGGCTAAAATCAAGAGTGGGCTGCTTAACTGACTGAGCCATCCAGGCGCCCCTCATTTTTGACTCTTTAAATGATACTAATCGTTTTAGATAAGCCCAGTGACTGGCTTGAATATCCAAACAAATTCTCCAGCGCTCACACATATACATACATTCCTAATCAAGTTATGACGTTAGAACCCAAAATAGTTATGAAGATAAGGAGTTCTTTTATGTTTATATTTATAAAGATCACAGTTTCTGCTTCTATAATTTACTAGATTCACTCCATTCATTTTAAGTTATACATATAAGCAAATGACTGTTCAACTCAGGTTATAGCATCTTCTGCCATCGGGTGTAGAGTTTAATCGTTTTTCAGAGTAAGAGAACTAGGGCAACGATCATGAATGCTGGTACCGCGAGAGACTGGCTGGACAGGGTGGCCTTATTTCCATCAGGTGCACCAAGAGCCCCCATGTGGACAGAGCGTTTCTGGCTTCTGAGGCAGCACAGACACTGACGATATTATCCTGTTCGCTCGTACTTTCTGGACAAGCATGCGGCCAAGGTAAGAAATAGCTGGCAACAGAATCTTTGCACTTGGCTGAGCGTCTAGGGCTCCTGTGTGGTGGGCTCGGCTGGGGAATGGTACAGAGGGGCATTCAGGAAGCTCTGACCACCCCCTCAGCTGGGCTCAGGCCAGGCCCCCAGGAGACAACGGTGGATAGCATACAGCCCCGCCCTCTCGAGAGGCTTCTGGTCTACTGCACTTACCGAGGTCAGGGCACAGACTTCCCCAGGGATTTCTCAGAGGCACTGTCAAAGGCATGAGCACCACCTTGCTTCTGTTGCTTCATCTCTACCTTCTCTCTGTCTCTGCCTTAGAGGCAGACCCATGTGGCTGGCGCCCTTTGGCTTCTGCTTGGGTTTAGTCAAAGAGGGGGGCAGGCAGGAGATCAGAGGCAGGGAGGGGAATGAAGTTTGGGCGGTCCCCCGGGTCCCTCACCCTCTGGGTTACCATAGGCTAGATAAGTCCCTCTGCTGAAGGCCATAGCTCCTGACTGGAGGCCTTGCCCAAACAGCTCTCTCTCTGGGTCCTGATAACTGGCCCCTCTGCTGCCCATTACACTCCTGGGATTCTGCACCACCCCATAGCTCTTCCCACACCTCTGTAGACAGTCCCATGGTAAATTTCCCTCGATGACCCAGCTTGAGGGTGCCATGTTTTCCCCCAGGACCCTGACTGAAGTAGCTAACTTTCAGTGATACTTTATCTTTCTTAAACTCTGAAGAAGTCTGAATTTGTCATTTGTTCCAATGGGTTATGTCAAAAACCATATAACTCAACTACTTTTCAAACATCTTCTAGAGAACTTTTTATATCTACAATTCCCATTTTTCACAATGAGGTCAGTCTAACACAGAATATAGTGGAAGCAACCAGTCATAGTGCCTTGCAGGAAAGTAAAACAGAAATATTTTCTTATAATTAAAATTAAACAATATCCTCTAAAAATAAAACATACACAACTAGCTTTAATTTCAAGAACAGATGTTTAAATTTAGATGGTTTACGCCATTTACGTAAAGAAGCTAACAGCCGTTAAGACTATTACAAAATATTGTGTATCACTAAATCTAAAATGACCTCAATTGTAGGTTGCCTTACGGCTTCAGAGATGTTAAAATATGAAAAAAAAAAAAATGAGTGCCTTAGAAATAATGAACTATAGTGCGCTTCACAAAAATGACTCATTTACTGTTTTGTATGTAACCTTTCCTAGGGAAAAATGAATCATTTTCTTTTTATAGAGAATCTGTTACCTTATTTCGAACTGGAAAGATGTCATGGCCGTTGGTATTACAGACACAATAATCCGTTAACTAGGAAGTGAGGGGCAGCTTCCCTTCTGATCACTGGTGTTGAATTTCTGAACACACGTCAACCATTACTCATCATCCATGCTTGAGGTACTGTGGCGATTTCTAATTTGGGTGTTTCTATGGTGCCTGGGAGTCTGTCTTTCTGTCTGTGTCACCACCGCGCACTAAGGCCTTTTAATGAAAGGGTCCAAGGTTGTTTTTGCCTGGAGGATCTGTCTCAGCCTTATTATACGCTATTGCTCAGAGCACAGGATACGGTCCCAGTAACTCAGGAAACGGGCTGGGAGCTTCTCGGGTGTCCAACAAGCTCACGGACACCTCTCAAACCTCGTTCAAGTCGCCACTGGCTCACCGGGACACTGGTTTGAAGAAGTAGTTCAATTAAACATGCAACCACTGATTTACCTGAAGGCTGTATCTTACTCACACAGTTTTCACTCTGTCAGGAGGTGGGTAGGATATAATTAGAAAGTGTAAAATATGTGTAATGTACTTACAGGTGGACCCGATAATCAGTTTCTACCAAGTGGTGCTTCTGAACAAAGTTTCAGAAACACGACATACCCAGTAAGATGTTTATCTGTGACACGGACAGGACGCCTTTCCCTACAGCAAATCTCCCTCTCCCCTGGGGTACGTGTGGCGCATGTCACCCACCCTGGTGAGGCGCCAGGCTTCTTCCTGGTTTCTTCCCCAACCTCCCGTTCAGGGGGGCGTGGCGGCCGGTGCATGGCCCACCATCAGCCCTGTTCCTTCCTTGCTAATGTATGCATTGTGGGCTTACAGGCTCACGGCTGGATACTAGGAGGGAAGAAGCCACTCTCTCCAACACTGCAAACTGTAGTTCTGAACAACCAAGTATAGGATTCAGGAAAAGCATGGCAGAAACAGAGAAAGAGAAAGGGTGTAAGTTATAAAAGTATTTCTGGCGCGTGTGTGGAACATGTGTTGAAAACAGACTCTTTTACTATTGATGGTGTCACAAATAACAATTAATGTTGAACAACGATGCTGCGAAATTTTTATTTTCCTTTGACTTATTTTCTTTAGCTTGTTTATTACAACTGCATTAATTTCACCTCTCAATGTGTGGGTATGTGTGTGTGCGTGCGCGCACGCACCTCCACTTTGCATCTGTGAAATAAAAAAATGTAAATCCATCTGAAGGAGCGACTTCAGAAAGACCACATCTGGCCATCACCGAGAATAAAAACTAAGGGCTCAAGAAGTCAAAGGAGGACCAAGACAAACTGTGACAAACTGTGACAACTGGAATATTAATAGAGCCCACAAAACAAAAAGAGCAGAAAGACACTCACAGAAGGAGCATTTATCATAATGTGTTGCTGAAAGCCGGGATTGGGGTAGCTATCTTGTAAGAATTAAGACCAGCCGATATCAGAAAAGATTCCTCGAGGAGGAGAGGCAACCGTCTTTCTTAGAATTAAATACTATGGCGCCCCCCCAGTTGGAGTGGACACTGTTGACCCAGGGTGCGGAGGGAGGGCAAGACCCAGAACCTGCCCAGGCGGGCGACAGGGAAACCGGATTCACCTTCTACCAGAAGACGACTGCCAGAAGGGAAGAGAGCTGATCTGGTGGAATGATCTTGAGAATCAGTCAGTGATGAGCAGCTCCAAGGCCCCTCTAGTGTCGCCTTGTACACAGAAAGCACATGCGGTGACCTGCATTGTGGTGCATGTGTGGTCCGAAGGGTAAGGGAGTTCCCCAGGTTGAAACACAGGACTCAGACTCTCACCCTGAACTCCCCAGGGAAACCTTACCTTCAGCGGTGCCGGAGAGCCCGTCGGCCTTGAAGTTGCTGGTACTTTTCTTCCTTCGGTGCTTCTTTCTGTTGGCGTGAGGGGAGGGGGGCGGGTCGAGCTTGGGGCTGGTGGTGCTGGAGATACTTGGGCTGGAGCACACGGAGTCGCCCAGCCCCGTGTCTGCCATGGGACCGGAAAAGGCAAAAGAACGCAAACGTTAACACTTACAAAGTCGACTTTGCAGAAATACGAAAGCAATGCTCCTCCAATATGCTACCAGGCCCCACAAGTACTATATTAAGCTGAGATCACTGGATTGGAGGCCCCAGAGCATCCAGTATTAAAAGTGCACGGGGCCGTTTCCTCTAACGTACCACCTGCCATTAAAAAAAAAAAAAAGACTTTATTTTTGGATCATCTGTAGGCTGTGGAGCATTTAAAATTCTCTACTTCGCATGATCGGTGCTCTAGAAAAGCAAAGTGAGGAGTCCATGCCTTTTACTAGTTTATTTTTCTCTTCCCACAGTTACCCTGATACATTAGGAGTGAAACCAAGAGGCTGAGGACGCATATGAAGGCGTCTGGCGGCCGCTCCGCTTCTGCGGGTGCGCACAAGAGAGCGGGCGTCCTGGTTCGCTCACTTCCACCCTCAGCGTCACATACGACCGCGGCACCAGTTTATGACGAGTGGAACATGGCCCGCCGTGTCTCTGTCCATAGCAGACCTGCCAATTACTGATTCACTGAAGCTATTTATAAAATTTTAAGACCGTTGCACACACGTGTGAATTCACTGCAAGTGAAACCGATTTAGTACGTCCATCTTTCTCTTTATCCAAGAGAACACGAGAGTCGTGCTTAAAAGAGCAGGGAACAAACATGGACTTCAACCAGAGAGAGTCTTCCCAAAATGTGAAGGAGAGGCACCATCCGACCGCCTGCAGGGCCTGAAGAATTCTTTATTTCACGAGTCGGACTCTCTGTAAACTCGGACGACACCAAGTGCTTTGCGATGCGCTCCATTCGTTCAACGAGTATTTTCTGAGCGCCTACTGTGGGCCACTTTTCTAGGTGCTTGGGCTCCATCACTGAGAAAAACAGGTAAAGATTCCCTCCGAGCGGCCACAGCCCAGACGCAGTAGAAGGCGGTAAAGTGTCAGGGAAACGAGTAGGACGGCGTGGGGGCCCGACCACCCCAAAGTGCCCGCAGGATAACCCAGCGGCACCGGACGGCACCAGACCCTGGAGACTGCTCAGCGGGGTCTAATCTTCTTCTAAAAGTAGCAATTCTCGTACATATTTTAAAAATACTAGATCCCACTGGATAGCAGATGAAAACTGTAAATGTCCCAGAAAAAAAAAAGGCTAATCTAATGAACAGGTGCACATCATTTCTGAGGGCTCAGAGGCCGCCTGGTGTTGCTAAGGGACCTTGGGATCCGAGAGCGTTAGCTGGTCCCGAAGCAACCCTTTTATAGCATTACTCAACGCTCACACTTCAGAAGGGATTATTTTTTGTTCGTTTCAGGTATTTTCTGCCCAGGTGGTAAGCCATCATTCACTCTCTGACCCATCCTCTCTGACTATTCGGGACCTACCCTGTGTCAGGCATGGTTGACAGACGACGGGACCATCACAATGTCACAATGACCGCCCCCCGCCCCCACCCCCGAGGAGCTGAAGCCTCACCATGGAGGAGGGTGAGGAGAACGGGCAAGGACGACCGGCCTCTGAGACAGCAGGCTGGCCTTTTGCTCTTTCAGTCTGTCCCTTGGGCATCCACTCAATTCAATGCACCATTTTCATTCCCAACTGTGTGTCTTGATCCTTAGGCCACTCCACTGCTGTAATGCTCTCTCCCGAAAGAACATTTCTCCTCTCCGCACTGGGCTGTCTGTCAGTCATCTGGATCTAAGCGGCATGCCTGTTCCCCAGGGCAGCTGCAGATGCCCACTTCCCCTGTACGATGCTGAGCACAGAGTGGCGGCACTGTTACCACATAGGCATCCCCAGGTCCCTCCTATCATCCAGTACTTCCTTTTTAAGGCACACACCAACGTCCTTTGCAAGATGTTAAGAATATACCCTTGAGTTACGGATGGTCATGTCACAGCTGCCATCCATGTGGGGTGGCTCTATGTCTGTGCTCTCTATTCCCTTCTGGGATTCCTTCCGTCTGTCTGTCCTGTAACAGCACATGGCCTTGAATGCGACGGCTAAGGCGTCCTGGTGCCTCACACAGCAGGGCACGCCCCCCGACGTTGTAGATCCTTCCCCATTGCCTTGGCTATTCATTCTGAGCACACAACTTGGTATATCCACCCAAGACACCAGAAAAGACATTAAACCGGGAGGAGTCAAAACAGCCTCCAACCTGCAGACGCAGCTGAAAGCGCCGGTGAGCGACCCCGCAACAAGACATCGTCCACGCGTCCCACTACAGATCCGTGGCCTCGCCTACGGAGAAACTGCCACACACTCTCGTCAAATGCTTTGCTGAAGGGCTACACGGCCGCCCCACTGACACACATTTTTGGCCATTTTTAAACAATAAAGGGCAATCCACTTCATGTTTTCTCTCCTTTATGAGCTATCCTGTTTACCACTGTTTCCTTTTCTGTATTCACCCAAAGCACTTCTCTAACATCCTAATTTAGGATCTGACTTGGGAATGACCTTAAACTCCCTGGAATACTAGTCATAATTCACCTTCCTGGGGAACAAAACGACATGTGTCTGTGTCCAGGGATCTCCCTCCATTCCAGATGCAGAAAACTGTTCCTAAAGTCATTAACAGGGACTCGGGCGATTTCATTCCCAAGTTTTCTGGATACCTTGGAATATCTGTAATTCAGGGAGAAATCTCTGATTCACTTGAAGCAAATGGCTGAGCAGCAGCCTTGAGGTAGGAGTGACACCTGCCTTCCCCCGACGGCCCATCAGCAGCCTCTCCAGCCTTCCTTTCCGTGGGCACCCTTCCACACCAGGGCACCCATCCACCTGTGGCTCCCGAGTCCCACTAAGCCACTGGCTCTCAACTGGAAACCCCTGCCCAGGGACACCAGATAATGTCCACAGATATTTCTGGTTATCAGACTAAGACAGGTGGAGGTGTACCAGCATCAAGTAGGCAGAAGCCAGAGATGCTGAGAAATATCCCACAACACACAGGACAGCTCCCACCACAGAAAACCAACAGGTCTAAAATGGCACCAGGGAGACCTGCAGGATCGGAATTGCTCCACTCCTCGTCACCTGCTCAGTCTCCTCCTGGTCTGTCTGTGCAAACGCCCTCACGAGAGCGAGAGCAAACCTCTCAGAATATTCCCTTCACCTGCTATGACCTGGCTCTCCCCGGGGCGGGGGGACACATACCTCCCACCCCCAGGGAGCACACAGGTGGGGGCAGGTGTCCTTCCTGCCCCCTCTGCTGCTTGCAGACCACTCCCCCTGCCCTCCAGCCCCATCCCCTTGAAGCGATGCCCTCCCGTAAGCCCACTCACACCCACGGACCCCTGGCGTCTGCCCCTTCTTCGCTCACTGACTGTTTCAGCAGCAGCTCACCCCATCCTCACTCAGGAGTGATTACGTCCAGTTCCTCCTACATGCTCACTTCAGCGTCCTGGCCTCTCATGCCTCCGCCTCGCTAAGCTCCTTCCTTCTCTCTAGCCTTCATGGTCCTGACCCAGGCCTGCTGTGGGGAACCAGCTCCTCGGAGTCTTATTTTTGTCTCCCGGCTCACTTACACCAGGACCCACACTCTGAGGGTTAATCTAGTGGCGCTCTTCTCCCTCTACCTTTCCTGATCATTCGTCCAACTTGACTTCCACCTGTACTCAGGTCCTGCTGGAGGAACAGAGCCTCATGCTCACCGGGGCTGGACCTCTGGACTGCCCTTCCATTCACTACGTTCCCAGAGTAAAGCTGCTCCCCGCTCTCCAAGAGGCTGTATCACACCTCCTCTGTTCTCCTCAAATGCCCCACACCTCACTCCCTCCCCCACAAAGACATCATTTTTCATTTTGCTGAAGATAAAAAAACCCCCAAAAGCAGCAATTAGAAGACAGCATCCTCCTTCCTGTCCCTGGTTCCCATGGACCCGGGGCCTCCTCGTCCTGGGAACTGGATTCTGCCCCATTTTGCCCCCAGAGCGACTTTGCCCCCTGCCTTTCATACCTTCTCCAGCCTGCATCAAACGTGCTGTATTATTATACCGTCTCCCGTTTCTAACAAAACCCTCCGTGACCCCATGCCCTTGCCCAGCCACCACCTGATTTCTGATCCTCTTTAAAGCAGAGCCCCCTGAGCCTCTCCCCTCTTTGCTGCTTGTGTCTGGTCACAGCTGACCCTGCTCCAGTCAAGGTCGCCCCACCAGCTGCTGCCATGCCCTCGCGGTGGCCGCCAGCACTGCCACCAGCCCCATCGGTGGACAAGCCCCGGTGGGACTGCGGAGCACCCCACACAGCTCACAGCCTCCTCCTTTGTGGGGAAGGCAGAGTGAGCTCGACGCTCGTCAGATCACAGGGAAACTAGGAGGGTGTGGGTCTAAGAAGCCAAAGGAGAGGCCCCCAGAGAGGCTTTCCCCACTCTGGCCGCTGCCCATGGCTGCCTGGCATCCAGTCCCACTGCCTTGCGGGGCAGGCGGCGCTCCCCACGTGTGACGCCCCGCCCCCCGTGTGTTTGTGTCCCTGCTGACGACGAACATCCTCCTGGCGAGATGTGATCCTTATGGAGGCAGGGACTTGCTTCAGCCTCTTCACCAGGACACAGCCTGGAACACAGCTGGAATGAAAATGGGAGCTGCATGCATATTTGTGGCATTAAGTTTTATAAAGAGTTGAGCTCCCATCGAGAAGTGCTCCCACAGGTGGACGGCGCGGCTTTCTGTTGCCTAACAGAGAAGCACTTGGTGAGTTCATCCTAAAACCACGAGCACGTGAGTTTCCAGCTGTCCAGAACCTGCTTTAAGGTGAACATCTAACTCCGTGAATGAGTCTGTTTATGTTGAGAGTCTTCCCCCTAAAGAAGCCTTAAGTGCGCCACACATAGTGCATGAGCGCGGAGTACTCCACGAGCCGGCTCTCCTAGGCACCGGGGCTTCATCACAGAGAGAAGGGCAAAACCCCCGCCCCACGGAGCCGCTTTCTAGGAGTGAAGGAACGCCTATCTACTTTCTTGCT